AAAAAAAAAAAAAAGAAAGGGCTTTCAGTAGGTCTATGAAGAATTAAAAAGGCTCTTCACTATTGCCCAACAAGTCAGTTTTTTGCATAAATCTTCCATATGCAAGCCAATATCCAAAGCTTTTCTTTAATATTTGATGCTTCAGGTATAATCAAGCAGTTGGAGTACTATTATTCCATGTTAAATACATTAAAAGAGGAGAGGGCTATTGGTAGTAGTGAAAGAGAAGAATAATGGAATGATGCCCCCAATCCTGGAAAACAGTGATGATTAAAATCACCTCCTAGCAGAAAGTAAGTTTCTATTTTTCATTTTATATCTTTCTATATAGTTTGTTTGATAGGAGCTATATTCTACATTAACAGAGGTAAAACCTCTATCTATAATTATTTGAATTTCCTACTCTGTGCATAATCTACCTAAATAAATATACATATAGGCATACATACACATACATATATACCAAAAATGGATATCAATTACAGGGCAGGGAAGGAAGATATTTTGTGAATTAGCTTTGACTTTAATTTTATGCCACTGTACTATTTACTTATCATGCTTATCAAATACCTAAAAAGATACCTGGTTTATTATATTTCAGTAGTTTGACCCATACCTTTGAGTGCTCTGAAAGGAAGTCTGGAAGAAGATAAACTTGTGCCAGTAGCTCTGTGTAGTCACGACAACGAAAATAATAAATGTGGGAAAGAATATTTTCGAGAGTGAAATCCTCCAAAACTCTTTGGTGTTCTGAAATAAACAAAATAATTTTAAAATAATTGATTTTAACTGTTTTGATATTTTGATGATTACAGGAAAACAATACTTTGGAAAAACAAAATCCTTCACCTAGAGTAACAAAACTCTTAACTTTAATTGAAAGATAACACTGCACCAAAATGACCATAAATATCATTTCATAATTCCTGACCTCTTATTTTCACCTTTTCCATGCTTTCCTTGCATCTGGGCTATCCAGGAATTGTTTAGATGTATATAAAACTAGAGGAGAGTTTAAATGCCTACCTTTTCAAATTTCCAATTATTGTCCTTTATTGAATAGAAGTAACATAATGCAAGTTTCTTGTTTTTTTTGGTAGGACTACAAATTGAGTAAAAAAGCACAAGTGTTTAAAAGAACTTTTTTTCCTTAAATGATGTTGTATAATTTGATATTTAAGTAGTAACAATGATAATAAATAAATAAATTTCCCTTCTTATGATAGGAAGAAGCCCTAGTAGAGTAACAGTTAAGTGCCTGACTGCTAACCAAAAGATTAGTGGTTCAAACCTGGCCAACAGTTCCAGCTTCATGGGAGAAAGACCTTTCAATCTACTTCTATAAAGATTACAGCTAAGAAAACCAAATGGTGCAGTTCTACTCTGTCACATGTGGTCATTATGAGTTGGAATCGACGGCACACAACAAGAGGACTTGAGGATGTTCCTTTGTTTACCTATGACAATGCCAGAGACAAATCAAACTCCAAACTCACTGCCATCGAGTGTTTTCCAACTCAGAGCAACCCCCACTGGGTTTCTGAGGCTGTAAATCTTTATGGAAGTAGATCGCCCAGTCTTCCTTCCACAGAGCAGCTGATTGGTTTGAACCACTGACCGTCTGGTTAGCAGTCAAGGCACTTTTCCACTACACCACCAGAGCTCCTTCATGCTAGATACAGAACCTCCAAATTTCCATTCTTTGCCTCATAAATCATTAACTGAGTTGCTTGTCTCCAGTGATCAATTAGAAATAAAATGTTGTTGTTATGTGCCCTTGAGTCGGACCCAACTCATAGTTTCCAAGGCAGTATCACTAAGGAAGTAGATTGCCCCATCTTCCTTCCGAGGAGTGGCTGGTGGGTTTGAGCAGTCAAGTGCTTTAGCCACTATGCTACCAGAGCTCCCAGAAACAAAATAGTTTTTAAAAAATTTTTTTGTTAAGTGCTTCTTCTTACCTTAATTCTCATCCTGAGCAAACATGCCACCTAGTCTCATGGTCCTCTCCCAGGGAAAAGGCTAGCCTCCACATAAAACTTCTATGATTTATTGTCTGATCAGCCACCCTCTCATCTTACTTCTCCATACTTGTGTTTCTTCCTAGCCTTTATTCTTGTCTTTATAAAAGAAAAACCCCTTCTTCCCACCTGGTTCTGCTGCCACTGTTTCTCTGGCACTGCTTCTTGCTGTTTGTGTCCCCTCCAGAGTTACAGTTCTCACTTCTTCTGAGTCCTCATCAGAATTACCTTTGATGTCCATAATTCCACCAACAGTGTCTTCTAGGCAATTTAGGTTTTTACTATTAGGCACCTTAAAACTCTTGTGGCCCCTACTCATTACCCAATTTCAAACGGCTTCACACTTCAGTTATCTGCTAGAACAGCGCCCCATTCTTGGTACCAAATTTCGTCTCAGTTATCTAGTGCTGCTGTAACAGAAATGCTACAAGTGGATGACTTTACAAATAGAAATTGATTATCTCAGGTTAAGAGACTAGAAATTAAATTCAGGGCACCAACTCTAAGGCAGGCTTTCTCTCTCTACTGATTCTAGGGGAAGACCCTTGTTTCCTTTCAACATCTTCAGGCCTGGCATCTCTTACAGATCTCTACGTGTCTTGGCATCAATCTTCCCCTGGATCTAGGAAGTTCTCAGCACAGGGATCCCAGATCAAAAGGATACGTTCTGCTCCCAATTCTTCTTTCTTGGTGGCACAGAGGTCCCCCTTTCTCTGCCTGCTTCTCTCTCCTTATATTCTGTCTTAGTTATCTAGTGCTGCTGTAACAGAAATACAAGTGTATGGCTTTAACAACAGAGATTTATTCTCTCACAGTTTAGGAGGCTAGAAGTCCAAATTCAGGGTGCCAATTCTAGGGAAAGACTTTTGCTCTCTGATGGCTCTAGAAGGTCCTTGTCTCCTTTCCACAACTGTGGGCCCAGAGTCCCTTAGAGATCTTCATGTGTCTTGGCATCAACATTCCCCTGGGTCTCAGGGCAGTGACCCCAGGTCCAAATGATGCGTTTCACTCCCAGCTCTTCTTTCTTGGTGGCACTGAGGTCCCCCTTTCTCTGCTTGCTTCTCTCTCCTTTTCTATCTTGTAAGATAAAAGGTGAAGGAAGGCTACATTCCAGAGAAACTCCCCATAGGGCTGTGACTTGAGTAAGACTGTTGCGTCCCACCCTAATGCCCTTATAATCATTGGCTAATTCATATCAGATCACATCATGGGAGATGAGTACATCATTACATAACCATCAAATTACATCATTACATAACTGCTGAACCACTGAGAATCTCAGCCTAGGCAAGCTGACACATATTTCAGAGGGGGACACAACTCAATCCATTACAGATATATTTAAAATAATGACCAAAAAAAAAAAAAAACAGAGAGAGAATGTAGTTGCTGAGGCTGCTTATGTACAACCAAAAACCTCTCTCTCTATATATAGGTCCTTGGTTTGGAGGTGTAGGGTCATGGTTTCACAGTATACCCCAGTTAATTGGCTTAATAATGAGTTCAGTGCTTCTGTTCTACCTCCTAGTTTGTTACATACTGCCTAGCATCTTAAAAGCTTGTAAGTGACCATCCAAGGCACAACAATTGGTTTCTATTTGCCTGGAGTGAAAGGAAGGAAAATCAGGAATAGGAGGAAGATATGGAATGTGTGGTTAATTGCTTCCATGAACAACTGCCTGCTTTGCCATGACAGCAAAAGAATGGTGTCTGGCTACCATTACTGAGTATTTTGATAAAAGATTCTATGGAACAAATGTGGCCAAAAGGGATTAAAAATGCAGAAAAGAATTCAAATTCTCATGTTGTTGTTGTTGTTGTTATGTGCCATCGAGTAGGCCCCGACTCATAGCGACCCCTCCTTGGGTTTCCGAGGCAGTATCACTACGGAAGTAGGATTGCCCAACCTTCCTTCCGAGGAGT